CCTGCAGGAATAGGTCTTGACACATACAAGAGGCTCAGGAGTAATGGACATGCTTGCAGTAAGCTGGGGTACAAAATAACTGTGTTTGTACAAACTTCTTAGATATTTACTTCTGCCTAGTTAGAGGTTATTAACAGTTAGCTGTGCTTTTGTAGTACATTATTGGTCATTTATAGATGGTATAAAGAATAAATCATCCACATTGAAACAAAATACTAGGGGAAAAAAACCACCTGTACAAGCGTGTTGTCATTTCTCTAGCAGAGGTGTTCTCTTGTTTATTTCAAAATTGTGAGGTGAACAAGAGATATCCCAATAACACCAGACAGAATTAATATTTTAGAAATTATCCCAATCAGTCATAAATAGCCTAAGCCAACCAATAATAATTTGACCATCTATTGAGCATATTGCAAAGTTTTCAACTGGTTTTGATCAAGTTCTTTTATAACTGTCTAATATAATCGTACATGGTACCAGTTACTGCCAAAGACAGGATGTGGGCTGGCTCTATTATAGAAAAAACTACCCTGACATTTGATGGAAATCCAAGTTTCTTTGCACAGTTACATATTGGAACCAGAACCCAGAGCTTCACTAAGCTGTGTACATCCCAAGACAGAGAAATTAAAATAGAGCAAAGGGGAAAAAGTGTTTTTTCATTTCTTCATCTTTTCAAGCTATCTTGTGTCATGACAGTGGAAAGTTTCCTTAGGATTCACCAGGGAAATCCAAGGAATCTGCTTGAATAACCTTTTAAAATACTACAATTCTGAAGTCGCTTTCTGACTGTTTAGTCCTCAGCCTAAGACAACTCAAAATAAAGCAAACTGTGTCACCAACTAGTCACGTCAGCGTTATTCAAATTAGCTGAAGAAATTCCAAAGACCTGGTTTCTACAGAATTATTTCAGTTAAGAAACTGTGAATATATCTAATTTCAAATCACAATTTATAACAATCAATAATACTAAAAGTATATATTTTTTTAATTTAAAAGTTTCTGTCTGTGAAAGAATAGAGGTAACTTAACGGGCTGCTGTGATCAGAAACTACTGAAAATTTTTTTTAAACTTTTTCTTGTAAATTAAAGAGAGGCTTAAATTTAAGAAGGACCCAATGGTTAACCAGGAGTTATCATGCCATCATATTTTCAAGAAAACAATCAATCAGGAAGGAAGCTGAGTTTAGGGAATTCATTCAGAAACTCAATGGCAGAAGAAGAATTTGCTGACAGTGAGAAAAAACAGACACAAACTGTAGAAACCTCATCTCAAGAAATTCCCTTAACTGTGATAGTGGGTGTAGCGTGGTGATCTGCACAAGTGAGGGAGAACAGAAAAGCAGGATATCAGGGAAAAAGATTAAGACTATAAACCACTAACCTGCAATGAGTTCCACAAAGAGCCTAGAGAGTGAATAAAACACCCACAGCTGTTCTCATAGGTTTGGGAAAGCTTCATCTATAAGGAGATTGAAGAGCTGATAATTCTATTATTCATCATAATTAAAAAAATAATCTGCAATTAGCTTCTTTGTTAATTATAGTAGTTGCAATACTGAGCCATATTGGCTTATTTATGCATATTGTGCCATGAAAGCCAGCTGAGTTGCTCCAATCTGTATCAGGAGCAAATTTTTACTGTTGCTAATGAAGAGGGATCTGTAACTGCCTTATTGCCCCTCATGTGAAAATCTCACAAGACCCTACTCTCTCAATACTGGTGATTTCTGCTCCAAACCAGTTCTGAAAATTCCTTCTTTCACAAGCCCTATGCTAAACAAATCAATAGTGCACCCTGTATTTTCTCTTTTAAATGTGGATTTCAGAAGCTTAAGAGGAAAATGAAGTTCAACAGGAACTACATCTTTTATCATTAATAACTGTCCTAGTTCCTTATCTCATTCTCTCCCTGTTGCTGTTTCTGTAACATACTGAGCCATATGGAGTCAACTCAAGCTGTAAATTCTTTGGGACAGTGGTCTCATTTTTGTGAAAAATCTGCCCTGTTTTAGGAAGCTATATTAAAAATTAGAATCAGCATGAGTCTATCTAACAAAGCACACACCAAATCCTCTCAGCTAAAGGTGCCATCCCTCCCTGGGAAGACATGCAGGCCTACACAACTTGATTAAATTTGTGAGCAGTGAGCTCCAAGAAGGTAAAATAATAGTTTGCAGCTTCTTATACAGCTATAATAGAATTCCAGCTGGTGGCAATTCTCCTCCTGTTCTGGGTTTCTTCCAAGTGAAACAACATTTTTAAAACAAATAATTTTAAGGGAGCATATGGCATATACAAAAATAAATGTCTAGGGCATCAAAAGCCTAAAGCAATTTTTATTATGACTGCCAAAGAAAGATTTAAATTTCTTTTTGGCTTTGCATACAAAAGAACCATTGTGAGACTTTTAGCAGCACTTTCTCTGTCTCCCTTCATCTCAGAAAAATAGCATTAATAATTAAAAGTCTTTTAAAAATACCATAAACATAGGATTTGTATGCCAATGTTTCAGCTCTATTAACATGAAACACTTGGAATTCCTTTTGCCCTCAGACTTTTAGTCATCTCTGGTAGGAGCCACTGACTAGAGCCTTTTGCTTGTTTTGCCCTGGCTGCCAGTATCTCAGCTAATCTAGAACCTTTTTAACCCATTCCTTTGGACAGCAATTTGCAGGCAGGTTCCCTAAGGGAAGTGAGATCTGGATCTCTCCTGCTGTTGCAACTGCTTTTTCAAGGACCTCTCTCAGGTAAGAAAGTTTTATCTTATCTTAAACTAGGCTCTTACTCTAAGTCTCTTAGATTTATTTGCAAGTAATAAGTTTTCAGCTGGCATACTGTATTTGAGTGTCTTAAATTTTCTTTTTCCTATTCCAGACTGTGTCAGGGAGAAGCTGATTGTGCATTTATTTGACTGGAAATCCAGGACATTGCTTTTTACATGGATTCTACTCTCAGCTTCTTACAGCAATGGCTATGTACTCAGCAAATCTATTACTTGGTGAAATGGAGATGTGCTGTTTCCTGACAAACTACCCCATGAGGTTTTATTTATCTTATTATTACTCTTTCTAATATGGGGAGAGGGAAGAAAAATGAAACTAAATTATCATTTCCCTTCTGAGGGAATCATTTAAGCACCACTCATGCCTCTCCCTAGAGTAGATTGGAACTTTCTGAACAGCTAAACCTATATCCAGCATCTTCTGGTAGCAGGGGGGATTTGTGCTCCTATAGCTCATGTCTGCACCCTTCCTACATATGAAAACAACACTGAAGGCCTGAAGGGACTGAATCACTCTACTCATCAAACTTCCTTGTTTGATGGGATGTTTCCTTCTATCCCTCATCAGATTTCCTTGTTTCAGTCAGTCCGAAAACGTCAGTACAGTATTGGCTAGAATAGGGCCTGTTCAAGACTTTGTCCCTACGTTCATAATACACAGACTTTCAATTAGCAGGTTGGTCTGATCTTGGATAGTTTTACTAATCATATTCACCTGTGGACAGTGCCTCTAGATAATTTACTGGCATCATCTATTAAGAAAACCACTTACTATGAAAAACATGCTTTCTCCTGGGAGTCTCTGCAGCCTTAAAATAATTGTATAGTGCCTATTTGTGATCATTTCAGAAATAATGTCTCACTATGCAGTGTAATGAAGCCAAGTCATTGACATTGTCATAAAAGCATCTTTTTAATTACCTCTGTTACTGGGCTCCCAGAGCATCAGGAATGTAAGAAGCTTAGTAAATACTGAAACATAAGGAATAAGTCCCAAGATGAGCCCAGGTCAATGTCTAAAGTATACTGAGAGCTAGGACATCTAGTTAACAGAAGCAACCACTTTACAGCAAGTCTTTCTGTCTTCAGCAACCTCCCACAAAACATGTAAAACTCTGGTAGGATATTGAGGTCACTCTCACCTCTAAATTTATCAACATGTTTATAGTTTCTATATTCTACAACAAGAGAAAGAGCAGGATTCTCACTTGTGTTGAGAGAAATTTCTCTGCAAGGACACTTCTAAAAGTTCATACAAATTCTAATGCAGTTACCACTTTGGGAGCTCTGTGCCAACACTTTCTCTCAATTCCAAATCCAAAAGTTTTCTCAGTGAAAGACACAATGACTGATCTAGACCAAACGGGCACCTTACGTTAGGTCTTTTTCCAGGAACTATGTAGTTCTTCGTATTTCAACATACTCGTATTCTGTTTATGAGTCTTGACAAATCCATCTACTAGGCAACTTATATTCTATGTGACTTGGGTAATTTGCCTTATCTCATCTGTTCTCTAAGACCTGGAGATATCTTTCCTGCAACATCATCTTTTACCAATAGTTAACAATGTGGGTTTCTTTATTTAGAAGTGGCATATATACACAAGGAGTAGGAAGATAAATAAAGTTCATGGAACCTCCTCAGTGGTATTCAGTCAAACACAATTGAAAAAAAAAAAAAAAAACAACAAAAAAAACCTGTATTTTTTACCTTTTAGCTTAACGGGCTGGGAAGAATAATTTTATTGACAACTTCTATGTAGATTTTATACAGAAGGACCCTCAAACTTCCAATATCTCTGCAAGGAAAGCATATCAAGCAGTTTGGCAACTCTTACAATCTAGTAAGAATTTCTGTCCTGCAAGCCAATTATGCCACAGTTCTCCCTAGAGAGTATTTGGTTATTTATCTCTCACAGTAAGAAACACCTCTGTCAAATAGTACATGAAGTTGACAAAAGTTTGGCTGACGAACTTTCTTTATAACTCCAGAAAAATCAGTGCTATACCCAATTCTTTTTCAAGCTGTTTTCTGTAAGAAAGGAATTATTTTTAAAAGTATATAAAATGTAGATGAAACATAGCACTTTTCCATCATGTGTAGGCTTTTGCTCCGAACTATCTCAGAGTCCAGATGTTTGCTTCAGAAACCATGATAAAAAATTATTTCCCTCCTGAAATTTATTCTCAGTAGAAAAGGAACACTCCTACTTACTAGCTCTGGCTGGCTGATTTTGGCCTTCCTGACTGTCATGTAGGCAAAGTATTCTGCAATAAAAGAAGAGGATTTTTATTGGGTTTTAATCCTTCTTCACAATTCGGAGACAAAGTGGGCTTAACAATCTAGGCCTATATAGATCCTTCTCATTACTTACATTGCAACTTCCTTAACAGCCATAAAACTCTTACTCTGTCACCACTTTCCCCCGTATCACAACATTTTTTCCTCGGGTGTGGCAGCAACATACTGTCATTCTTTGTTCCAGTCCTTAAAATAGCTATTATCCTAGTAATATTGAAGAGCTTATATCTGTGCTGTCTATAGTCACATAGGGTAGAGAGGAGAGTAAGATTTGCTTTGCTTTTCAGAATAATTTTTATTCTTCTTCAGAGGTGGTTTTTTTCCACTGAGAAAGTTCTACAATGACAAAATATAGTAGAAGGGAAACCATTCAGGAGCTAGCATCCACTGTTTACCACCTCTGCTAGAAACTAAGAAAACTTTACTAGAAAGAAGAACTAAAAAGCTTTACTAGTAAGATTCCTATCAATTCTACAGGGAAAGATCATAACCAAGAATAGGAAAACTGAAAAAATAATTCTGCTTTTCTGAAGATACTTTAAGTTAAGAAACACATCTTCAGAATACCTTCAAAATACTCCTGAAAGTATTTTTTAAAAAAGCTGCACAATGACAAAATGACCAATGTTTCTTATGTTCATTTCACCTACAATTGCAAAGCTTTTTACACTATTAAGCTAACATTGATAGTTACACTGACAAGACATATTTTTCTGTATCTTACAAAATTCAATTAAAAGACCCTACAATCAAAGAATAATTTTGCTTGGAAGGGATCTTTAGAGATCATCTTATTCAATCTCCTGCTCACAGCATGCTAATTTCAAAGTTAGATCAAGTTGCCCAGGGCACTCCCTAGTCACATACTGAATATCTGCAAGGGTGGTAATACCACAGACTTTCTGGGCAGTCTGTTGCAGTGCTCATTCTTCATATCTAATCAGAAATTCTCTTGTTGGCTTCTGTCCTTTCACTGTGTACTTCAGAGGAAGAGTCTGGCTCCATCTTCCTGTGACCTCTGTTTAGGGAGCAGAAGACTGCCATTAGTTAGGTTCCCCACCATTCTGCCTTTCCGTCTCCAGGCTAAACACAGTTCCCTTAGGGTCTCTTCATTTGCCAGGTGCTCCAGCTTCCTGAATGTCTCAGTGGTCCTACAATGAACACTCCATTTTATCAACATCTCAACTTCATACACAGACTGTCTCAAAACACAGTCATATTACCAGGATGGCTTGAGCAGCATTCAGATGACAAAATGAGGCAGGATATATGAGCATCTATAGAGATACGTATTTTGACTTCATAATCAAAAGCATCTAATCAGTGATCTTTTCTCACCAAGAAAGGTCATGACTGCTTTGAAACATACTGTGAACTTCATATTTTGTATGTACAGTAATTAGTTGGAATATAGTATCATATTAATTATTTCCCAAAGTATTTCACACTCTGACCTACTGCTAACCTGCAAACACGAGCTTTAACCTTTCTAGTGACCGGTAGTCAGCCATTTTTTCCATTTAAGAGCTAATATTGCTGTATTTCGCCTTCATAAAATTTCTGCTTTCACATACATACTAATAAAAAATAAGTTAGGATTTTTTGCTTTATCCTTTTCATTAGTTAAATAGGAAGAAAATATATATTCCTTAACAGAAATTTTGAGTTGAGTGAATTATACACAAAATTGTCATTATTTGTAATTTATCATTTAATTAAATTACAGCTTCTAATAACTAAGTCATCTTTCAAATGTATCTACAATTATTGTCCTAATGATTTATTATATTAATTCTCTCCCATTGGTAAAAAGGAAGTAATTGCTGTTCTACTCTGGCATGTTTCATTCCAATTTTTACTCCCTATAAATGTGTTACAGTTCTTCCGTTGGCAGTCAGAGAAACTCTATAAAAGCAGCATTTACTGCAGTTTCTCTCAGAGCCAAGGAATACATATGCAGCCTGACATTTAGGAGTATCTGTTTTCAAGCATTGATCTACAGTAGTTATTAGAGCTATTGCTCTTACTATTTTACACTGTCTTGAAGTGCAGCTTATGCTGACTTTTCTTGGTAACTTATATGTGTTCACTACAAAGAAAAAAAATGGTATTCCATAAAAGAAATGTTGAAATAGACAGAGTCTTTACACAGCCACTATAGGTCTCTAGGATCTCAACTTTTTTGATTACTGGAAAATAACACTAAGATAAATTAAACCAGTCTCTTTAAACTACTGGAAGGCTTTCTTAACTTAACTATGCACCAACTGCAAATATACATTACCTTAGATTTTAAAAATAGGTAATTATTTTCATTCTGGAAGGACATGCATTCATTTTCTCTAATATCACCTATCCCTTTATATAGTAACAGCTAGACAATAAAAAATCCTATTTTTGCATTCTAATTTCCTACTGTAAAGAAGGGCCAACCTTCTACTCATAACAGTTTTTGAACCACAATTAAGACAAAAATGAAACTAAAGTTCTTGCTAAAAGACAAATACAACCTGTCTCAACATTTCTCTGTTACAGGAGTCAAGATCAAACCTTCCTGGCACCCTCCCCACCCCAGGCATTCCTAACAAGAGGAAATAGTAAGAAAAACACAACTGCGGAAGAAGGCTAACAAAGAATAATGCCTTTCTTGTTAACTAGGAATTAAAATTACACCTAGAAAGACTAAATATTCAATAACAAAAGTAAACTGAAAACCTGCCTACACACAAGTTACTGGAATAGATTTTGCCTAGATTTCTGACCAAAGATAGGTATTTTTAGACTACACACTGTAGCCTCAAAAGGAGGAGGAACCAAAGCAATAGAAACTTATTTTTATCGAGACTAAGCAAAAAGATCAGCTGTGTGATCAGAATACAAGTGCATATACGTATGTATTTGAAGATCTTGTAATATAGCAGTAGGAAAAAAATGCATGATAAACAAAATTACCCTTTTTTTTATATACTTCAGGCATGATGTTACTGTTTTGTTTATCACAGGGACCTTCTTAAAGTATTTAAGTACTCTGATCTCCCACAAAGACTTCTGTAGCATCGAATGAAACTGACCCCAAGACACAGGGGCAACAGACCAACCTTTCTTACACCTCTTTCAGTCATTTGTTACACTCTGTGCCATCACTGACTCCATTTAAATCCTTAGCAGAAGCACACCAATACTTCTCTAGAGATCTGTTACCTTCACATTTGACAGGTCAAGCATCAGAAATTTCTCATGGCCACTGCAGAGAACTACAGTACTAGTGTCTGAACATTTGCTTACAGCTGTTTATTTAGGGGAAAAAGAGAATTTAAAACTTTTTCAAAGCAATATAGAAAAGCTCCCTTTGAAATTTTTTTTAATTACAACATCTAGTCAGGGAATTCCAACACAATAGGTTCTCTATTCATGAGTAATAGCTATATCTGATTAATCAATGTGTAACGTTTTCAGTTTAGCTTCAAATCTCCTTTTAATTAGAGTAAGATTGTCATTTATATAAATTTCAGTTATAATCAAGCTTTTCCACTACTTTGATCCGGCTGCTTAATGCACTTGTACACAGAATGTAGGAGCTTGTTATATGTTTAATGTAGATTTTTGACTGTATGAGATGAACTATTTTATCATTGAAGCTTCTGAATGAAAGAAAAAGAACTTGCAGATAGTCAAGAATATGTCTACCCTCATCTCTTTCAATACAATCAAGGGAACGCAGTTTCTCCTTGATACCTGTAAGGTTTCTCTCAGTGTGGTCATTATGTAAGTTCAAAATATCAGCCACACAATCAGGGAGAAGAGTCAACAGTTCTCAGTTGTTCTCTTTGAAAAATATCTAGAGAAACTCAATTCTAGCTGTCACTTTCTGTTCCATAGGAGGACTAAGACATTTCTAGAAATGGTTGTCTTTAAAAAGCCATTTGGTTTTCACTGTGTATAGGTGACCCCATAAAGAAGGTATGTCATCTTCTAGTTCTAGTCTGCTTGAAAATATTTGTGGTGCTCTGTTCAATTTGTCACACAGGTAGTTAAGTAACAATCCAAGGGAGTAGAAAACAATATTCTTTTTCCTCCACATTGCTCTTACTTCCAGAACGAAAAAAAGATTCTAGGAAGCTTTCTAGAATCTCTTTAATTTTCACATCATCCATGATAATATTTTTCCCAATGTTTTCCAAGACACTCATGGTTAATGTTAAATTATGATGGTAATTAGTGGAATGATAGCTCCTTTGGTCTTCAGGAATTGCTTCAGACCATGCTTGTGATCAACCTCCTAAAATGTACAATTGTACCATTTTGACATTCACTCTAAGGCATGCCAGGTTGCTCTTCATGTGATTCTGCACCATCACTACTCTATTCTATTCTTTCTGAAGCCAGAGAAGGCACCCGTCTGAATACTGCCCCCATTAAAAACCTAATAGCTAGAAATCATTTATGTTTGAGAGGTATCAATCATCTGACTGTCATGGGGATCAGAAGCTGTATATACCCTCATACTGTTCTTGCATGGTTCTTCATATGGAGGTGAGGAAAATGAAAAAACATATTACGCAACCAAGTTGAATGTAAAACAAAAAAAGTACTGAGGCTTTTTTTTCCACTTTAGCTACAGATTAAAAAGACAAAGAAACTCTAACTAAAGTAAGAAAAGCCAAAACAAATGGCTCAAAATAACCCTACAAGTTAGTAGTAAATCAAACTGTTAAAAAGTTAATTTGTATTTCAAACTCAAAAGTACAGTATATGGATATTTGATCTTGTCATGGAGCCAAATTAAGTTACATTAACGTTTCAGAGCACCATTTATAAGAAACGTAAAATAGAATTTCCAGCCCTTGGAGAAGGAATAGCTAATACAAATTGAATCTTGTGTTAAATTTTTGCAATTCTGGATGACCTTAGAGTCTCAGAATACTCAGCTTCATGCAGACAGTCCTAAGAACCAGTATGAACTATGGCAACTAAAATGCTGTCCAGAATTTCCCACAAACGTTTTCCCCCAACACTCCCCAGCTATGCCCGACACGTACTTTTCAAGAGTAAGAGTTCAAGAAGGAGTCCTGGAAGGACGGTATGTTGCTGTTTTTCCACAGCAATCTCATTCCAAAGGAGTTTTTGTCAGTAAAAGTGGGATATAACGACACCTAATCCTGGTTCATAACATCTTTGTTTCATGGTTACAAAGAAATTATTTTTTTTTTATTTTGTAAAGATTAACTATTTTACAAAATCTTACTATGGCAATGAGTTAAAAACTTCTTGAGCTGCAAAAAGTACATATTTTCAGAGTTCCTCTTCACTATTTTGAAGTATTTTTTAATGTAGAATTTACTATCTGAGTTTCAGCATAATGTGTCACTTCTTGGGCTTTTAAATAAAGTGGGTTGTTTAAAAATGCCTTTTTTTTTTTAATTTTCCAGCATGGTCACAGAACTCAGGAAATGACGTCACTCTGCTAGTGCCAAAAACCAGGTTGGAAGTCCTAAATCTCAGCACACTCTCTCAGCCAGTGACGCAAGCAGCCTGCTGAAGTGAATGAAACCTTTGTCCTGTTGACTGAAACTGGGATTTTTCATGTTTTTTTAAGAACTCTACAAAACCTAGCTGCTGAGTATGATCATAAGGTAAGCTTCAAAAGATAAAAATTGCAAAAGCTACAAAATAAGTTTCAGAATAAGAGAATGAGATTCAGATCTCTCAGAATTAATTGCTGGCAATGTTTCTGTGTTTTAAAAAGCCAATTACTTCTGCTTAAAAAAACCCTACCATTTAAAATCTGATCCCTTATTTTGAAATAATTAACAACAAACATGCAGATTCTGAGCAGCAAAATAGGCACTGCAGTAAGTAACACCAACAGAAACACTGAGAGGCCACTTCTTTCCACAGGTGTCATATCAACAATTTAGGAAAGACTAGCTCAAGATCAACATATCCCAGTACAGTAATTTACATGTACCTATCTATTTATAAATATAGTTCTCAGACATCAAACTTAGGGTCCAATCCAGGTGACTATCCAGTAGGTGTTTGCTTTAGGGTAAGTTAATTCACTCTCCCGTCTCTGTTCACTGTATGGAAAGTAACTCTGAGATGGGGGGAGCGGAGAGTTTGGAATCAACCGTTCCCACCAAAGCAATACCTGAGGCTGCCTGTAAAAAAATCAAGACTTCTTTTATTTCTCCCACAAGTCTTTTCTTTCCAAATGTTATCAAGCTGGGCTCAATTCAAACAGCTATAAGTAATGCTCATGACACTGAATCTTCAAATTGTTAAGCCAAGTAAGGGAATTCAGACTAAAAAGCCTTAACAGCCCAGTGATAACCTCTCGAGTGCATAGAAACAACCTATTAATTTTCTTCAAGTAGAAGACTCATACATACATCAATCTTTATCTATGCACTACTAAAGATTAAAAAAAATAATTCACAACACTCAGAGCACATTACATAGATTGCTGATGAATGTCACTACAATTTTTTAATCAACAATGAAGTGCAGTCAGGTCTACTCACGTTAGTAAGTTCTCAGCATGTTTCAGTTAAGTTGCCCAGCAATCTGCTGTCAGTATTTACAGAGCTAAACTTGTGGCATTGCATGAACACAAAGTACCTCACACTACCCCCAGCTCCACAGCAACTGAAGAGCTTTTGGGGAACCGCTTCAGACCTCAGACATTGCCATTTCCTGAAACATACAGCAAAGAATGCAAGGTCATGCAATATCTTGGATCAATATGATTAAGGCTACTCCTTTAGCAAATGTAAATTAAGTTCTGGCACTGTTTTGTTCTCTCTCTTCACCTCTAAAGTCCTGCACAAGAGTTTACTAGTTAAGCAATATTGCTTTGTCCTTTACATCTGGAACCTTTCTTTCTATTTAGATGTCAGAGCTGCAACTCCTGTTCATGACAACCCAGCTAAACATCATCCTTATGTCTACAGAATTCTTGCAGTTTATGCCTCCAAACACTGAGTAAAATGAGTGGAAAAGTACTCAAGTTCCTTTCACTGGGACCAGTGAAAGAAGCAGTGTCCTTAACTACCAGCTGCCTTTCTTCTCTCCTTAAGCAAGCTTCCTGGGCTTTGTCTTTACCTGTGTCAGTGGTCTGGTAAGTGCTTTACTTTGCTTACACTGACCTATACCCAAACACAGGGAAAAACAATACAGATTGGCCCTGGATGATCATGGGTGTGAATGGACCATTTCCAGCACCACTCAGACACAGCAGGGCACAGCAGCTGGGTAACAATCGTCCTCACCTCTGTCATGAAAATTCACAACTGGCCCATGTCAGCCGAGGAGAGAAGCTAAGACACAAAGTCTAGAATTACAAGATTAAATACTTATTAATGTGCATGAGGTATTCCAGCTAAACTGGGACACCTCAAAGGTGGTTTTACACAGAGTTCTTATACCCTTCAAACGTTCAGGTACATGATTTGACTAATCACTAACAACCACACTACTGATTACTAATCATAGTAAGACTTTGCAAAGCAACTATATTTTTGTAGCATTCTTGCTGCTTGTCTATTGATCCAGATGTCCTTAAGCTCAGTCTTTCTGTAGTCACTTATCTATGACACCAGACGACACTGAGAGAGTTTCAAAGACGTGTCAGAGGGGCTACGATGCTGGTGTTATCTTGTTTGTCCAGGCATATCCTTTATCCTTCATACACTGCTCTAAGCTTCCAAGAAGCAAAGTCCTTATTTTGAGGGCCAGATTGTCCTGTAGTTTGTTTTTCTTGCGCATGAATAATACTAAAGCATCCAGTAAAATTCCACTATCTTATTATATTACAGTGTATCATGTGAACTAACATACATATGAGCAAAGATAACACACTTCTATGCTATAAAGACTGATTGATACAATAGTTAGAGAAGGGAATTTTCCTAACACCTCCCTGAGGTGCTGTGGCTGCAGGCAGGCAGGCACTCGGGCAAACTGCCATCTTTGTTACGGAGGCAACAATAAAGGATTCTTTACTTTCTCCTTTTTCCTTGTGCCAGCACACACGACAGGCCCCATTTGTAATCACTTTTCTAAGCTAACCTTTTCCTGCAGGAACAGCCCACACCGTTACACGAGTCTGTGTCAAAGCCCGCCAGGGACCTTGTTTTCACCTTACCAACCACGAGCCACGCGCACCGAGCAGAAATCCCGGGGCTGGGTTTTCACCTTGCTCTTTACAGTCTCTAAATTTAAAAGAAAATGCGTCTGCTCGGTACCCGCGGAGCGCCCAGCCGGCCGGGGGCACCTGCCCTTCCTCACCCGGCGGGGAGGCCGCGGGCACCCGCCGCCTTTTCCCCGTGCTGGCACCGCGCGGAGCCGCTTTACTGCAATCGCGCCGTTCGCCGGGAGATGGCAGCGTAGGATAAAAGATCCCTCAATTTTGGTCCCGGCAAAGCCGCGTCCCCCAGGTGGCCGTACGGGCCTCCCGAGAAGCCTTTCACAGTAAGATCTCTGTTTACTGGGGTAAGCTGTGGGCTGCAAACCCCTTGTACCTAACTTGGGTTTTCGACGGCTAGGTTTATAGCGCCGGGAAGAAAACAACTTGTTTAGAGAGCACGTTCAAGTGTGGTGCCCGCGAAACCAGCCGTCACGCCGAGGGGGCGCACGGCGGGAGCACGGACCGGCCAGCAGCAGCGCCCCAGCGCAGCTCGGCCCAGGCAGCAGTCAGTCCCGCCTTCACAAAGGTGCAAACGAGCAAAAAAATAAATCTCTTTCAACAGGTAAACAACCAGATCTGCTGTAAAGCCTCCATAGTTACAGCTGTGTTGCCCAACCGGGCTCTGAGGCACAGCATTTTTGTGGGCAAGCCGGGAAGAACGAGTGGCTGGACGGGAAGGTGGCCGTGCTGCCTTCTTTCCTCTCGATGCACTGGCCCGGCGGATTAGGTCTGATTTATTTGCAGTGCACCTAGCGTGTTTCCACAGCAGTTCAGTAATAAATCCTTCTGCCAGGGTATGGGTGAGGTACACTGTCTTTGGAAGTCCTACACACTTCTGCCAGCTTCACTCTGTCTGGGGCACTCTTTATTCGAGGAGGCAGAAGATTTCCCTAGGAATATGAAAGATAAGCCTAGGAAATTCGTTGTACTTACCAGTTCTTATGAGATTACCCCGAATGCCAGCTCTTTTTTTCCCCCATTATAATGCTAAAAAAGGCATGG